AACACAGCCTCTTGCTAGCTAGAAAGTTACCTCTTTGCTTAACCCAGGACACTGATCCTTAGCAAGTCAACATGTCTTTGCCTGTGGCAGTAATTGGTAACTAATCTTCGTGTCTTCATTTTGAGCCATGAGATTTCTGCTTTGTCCTGTTGTGTCAGAGGAGTGAGAAAGTGAGCAGCTGGGTGGGTGTCTGGCTGCTGGCCAAAGTTAACCCCCCACAGGACCGCACTGGGACTGCTGCGTCCAGATTAGGGCTTCCCAGCACAAGAAAGGCACTGACAGACTGGAATGAGTCCTGCAGAGGTCAGAAGGATGGTTGGGGCCTGAAACACATTGTGGACAAGGAGAGGCTGAGAGACCTGGGAATTGAGAAATCCCTGAGAGTCAGACACTGGAGCAAGGACCCAGGGCAGTTGGTGGGATCTCAATCAATCGAGATTTTCAATATTTGCTATGACAAGGCCATAAACTCCTGATCCAGTTGGAGCTGTCTGAGAACAGGCTTGGCTGAGAGACCAGCAAGAGCTGTGGGACTTGGTATGTAATGTGTGCCAATAGGAAACTGGTTCCCTTTTTATCAATAATGGTGGTGGAGTCGGGTATCATGGAGTCCCAGATGAGGACAGAGGTGACCATGCAGCAAGGGTCCTTCATCAGGGCTGGGGGGTATGGCCAGAGATGGAAATGGCCAGTGTGTGGGACTGCTCTGGGACAGTCTTCCCTGGGCAGCTTCCCTGGTGTGTCCAGGAAATATGGCACAGACTTGGCCTCTCCCTTCTGCACCTTTGGTGCCTTGCTTCTTTCACCATGACACCTGGCTCTGCACCAGGACCACCCTGCTGGGTGCCCCCACCCTGCAGACTCACTCAGATGGGCTCTACACTGGTGCTTTCCTCTCCCGGGCACTTCCCAGCCCAGACCCTCCCCAGCTGTCCCACTCACCTTCTTCCATCTCCCCAGCACAGCCCAGCACGGCCCAGTCTGGGCTGGTTCCATGGCAGTGCCCACCACAGGGGGATTGAGAGCTCTGGGCACTCACCCCACGGCCCCAGACCCTCTGCAGGGCACAGCAGCTCCTGGGGGGCAGAGAGGGGGCTCAGCCTCCCCATCAGCCCCAGTGATGGTCCTGGCCCCAAGGGCATGATGCAATGGACGCCAGTCACTCTCTGGCTCTCCCCAATTCATATCGCAGGTGATCCCCAACTCTGACTGATTTGCCCCTCCTCTGCTCCCACCAGCCCCATACCCAAGACATTACAACACTCCTGGAACGGGGGTTCCTCAGGCAACTCCCACATCTCTCCAGTCTCCCCTCCCTGTGCCTGCTGGGTCCCCGCTCACTCCCATGGCACTGCAGAGTCCTTGTTCATGGACACATTGATTCAGGGATTTACTTTTGGGGGATTCACCAGGTGTTTCACCTTCTGAGTCTCCATTCATTCCTACCGCAGGGCATGTGGTGAGTCCCCATTGTCTCCTCTCCTCACCCCTCTAAATTCATGTCCAGAGAGTCTGGCATCTGCCATCAGTCCCGTCATACATGGTGAAACTTGGGAAGATAACGGGAGCTCATGGACCATCTCTTCTGTCATTGGAAAGAGGAGAGCTTTGAAATGAAGAACATTTGGTCCAGTGAAACCCAATGGTACCATAAGCTTAACTCACAAAACATGGCGAACACAAGGAGAAGAGACTCTTTAAAAGAACAATTCCGTGGGCATTTTACTGGAAGCAAATTTGGATGAAGGGCCCAACCTCCAGTCACTGGACCAGGGAGATCCTCTTTTATTAAAGAGGTGCTGTTGGGCATGTCACATCTGACACAGTGTTGGGCAAAAGTCAGAAACAATAGGATCAAGCTTCAAGACAAGTAGAATAAATGCAGAATATTATCTAGAAACAGGATTATCACAAGAGAAAAAAGAAAGGCTTATTGCCTAAGATAAACCCTGGGAAACATGCAGAGAAAGCAAGGCAGGTTATTGCAACAGCATCCATTGGGACAGTTTCCACAGAGCATCCTTGAGCTCCTGGTTCCTCATGCTGTAGATGAGGGGGTTCACTTCTGGAGGAACCACCGAGTACAGGAATGACACCACCATATCCAGGGATGGGAAGGAGATGGAGGAGGGCTTGAGATAGGCAAACATGGCAGAGACAATAAACAGGGAGACCACGGCCAGGTGAGGGAGGCACATGGAAAAGGCTTTGTGCCGTCCCTGCTCAGAGGGGATCGTCAGCACGGCCCTGAAGATCTGCACATAGGACACCACAATGAAAACAAAACATCCCAAACCTAAACAGAGTGTAAATACAACAACCCCAGCTTCCCTGAGGTAGCCCCACTCTGAGCAGGAAAGCTTGAGGATCTGGGGGATTTCACAGAAGAACTGGTCCAGGGCGTTGCCCTTGCAGAGGGGCAGTGAAAGTGTATTGGCCGTGTGCAGGAGAGCACTGAGAAACCCACTGCCCCAGGCAGCTGCTGCCATGTGGACACAAGCTCTGCTGCCCAGGAGGGTCCCGTAGTGCAGGGGTTTGCAGATGGCAACATGGCGGTCATAGGCCATGATGGTGAGGAGAGAATACTCTGCTGCGATCAAGAAGAGAAAGAAAAAGACCTGTGCAGCACATCCTGCATAGGAGATGTCCCTGGTGTCCCAGAGGGAATTGGCCATGGCTTTGGGGACAGTGGTGGAGATGGAGCCCAGGTCAAGAACAGAGAGGTTGAGGAGGATGAAGTACATGGGGGTGTGGAGGTGGTGGTTGCAGGCTACGGCAGTGATGATGAGGCCGTTGCCCAGGAGGGCAGCCAGGTAGATGCCCAGGAAGAGCCAGAAGTGCAAGAGCTGCAGCTGCCGCGTGGCTGCGAATGCCAGGAGGAGGAACTGGGTGATGGAGCTGCTGTTGGACATTTGGTCGTTCTAATCACAGGGACCTGTTCAAGAGGGAGCAGACAGACAATAGTTAGGGGACTCTTCTATGATCAGAGTGGGAGCCATTAATCAAAGACTCTCCTCTGTTATACAAAGCTCATTTTCCTTTTCCAGGAGACCTTCCTCAGCTCTGTGGCTGCAGCTCTGGTTGGTGCTGGCTGAATGCACTGTGAGGAGCAGGGGCTGTGCCCGCTGGCTGCCCAGGAGTCAGCCCTGCTCTGCAGCAGTGGGGTCATGGGAACGGTGGGGGCAGTCCTGGAGTTTATATTTGTCAGATAAAACTGCTCCAAATCCAATCTGCTGAGGAACAGGGATGGCAGATGGCAGCTTGAGAGGTTTGGGGTTTTTTTCAGGTCCCAACATCTCACCTGGGTTTGTGTTTGGATATCAGAAACCCTCAGCAATGCTGCTGGACTCAGGCAGAACTGAGGGATTCCTGCAAGGCAAGTGGAACCCCTGTGGCTTCAAGCAGAGTGAGGGGAGATGGTCTGTCCGTCCGTCTCCAGCTGCCTTGGGCTTGCACCTTCATGAGATGGAGGGTGATAAAACTCTTATGTTACTCACCCAGAGACTGCTGAGAGTGCATGCACCCCAATTCTCACCAAGGACACTCGTGGCTCATTTCACCAACCCAACAGCATTTCCTCACTCACAGAGTCTCTGTGTTCCTCCCTGGGGCTTTCAGATAGCACAAAGATGCTATGGGACAGTTTTGCATCCTGGAGGGCAGCTCACAGCTTGGATGGACACCCCAGGGAGAGAGCCAACTGTCCTCATGGTGGCATCTTAGTCAGAGACAATGGACTCATTCCCCAGCCCCACAGGCTGCATTGCCCACAGCCCCACAGCTCAGAAGAAAACTGGGACACTTGTGCCCCTGGACACACCCGCAGGAACGGACCAACAAGATCAGGGTGTGACTCTGCAGCTGAAACTCCCATCCCCAGGGAGTCTGGCAGCAGTAAAAAGAGAACTTTAAAACAGGAGAGTGGAGAAAGAAGGGAAAATGCAGTGAGGGTGTGGGTGAGGGAGGCCAGGGCAGAGGCAGCTGGGCACTCAGGACAGTGTTACCCTTCCCCAGCTGGGCTCGACGCCTCCCAGACACTGATGATGCCGGACAGTTGTCCTCAGCCTTCGTTGCTGGTCAGCAGAAATGGGGCATGTGGCAGGAGGGATGCCCTTTGTTTCTCTGTGTGTCCAGGGTTTACAGAGCAGGTCACACACCCCGTGAGGAAAAGGGAAAGGTGATCCTGTTTTTTTCTGTAGGCTGGAAGGGGGTGAAGGCACCTTGTGAGGTTGGTTTAAGAGCCTCAGCCCCTGCTTTAACTTGCACAGCTGAGTTTCCATTCCCACCCAGCCGAGCCAGAGAAAAGAGGAAGCGCAGATTTAGGAAAGCACAGACTCCACCAGGAAACCCCTGCCCTGAACATGTTTATGAAAAGTGCCCCCATGATGTGGAGCCGTGAGCAGAGCTGACCCACCAGCACCCTCTCTAGTCACAAGGACCCTGCCCTGCCAATGGTCACTCCTTCCACCCACAGCTTCTCCCCACTGCGCCGTGGGGATCTCCCCAGTGTCTAAGACCAGACCCGGGCAGCCTTCCGTGCCCCTGCCCTAGCACACAGCCCCTGGGGTGCAGGGACCTGCTCTGAAGGACAGCCCTGGGCACCCCTGGCTGCACACCCACCTACACACCCTGCAGCCACCTCTGGGTGAAGGAAGGTGTTATGTCCTGTCCCACTGATGGTGCAGCAAGGAAGCCATGCTCTGGAGCACATCTTTCTCCTCCATGCCAGACAAGGGATGTGACAGTTCTCGAGATCCCTCCGGGATGTCCCTGAAGCCAAAGACTTACCGTGTCAAGGGCTGTGAAGATTTTTCTCTGAGTGAGGACTCATCTCTCCTCCCACCCCAGGATGCCTTTATCCTCTCCCTGCCTCGCTCCTCTCCCCTGGGTGCCTGCAGGCAGTGCCCTCAGCCCTGCTGCGCTTTGCAGAGGAGCTGCTCCTGGGCAGAGCTGTCTCTCTGCAGCGCTGCCCACTTGCCATCAGCTCCCTCCATCCCCGCAGCCCAGCCCAGCTCAGAAGCACAGCACCAGCCCAAGGCAGCACTTTCTCTGCCCCCTCTGGGCTCCCTCCAGGTGTCCCTGGGGCTCCAGGGGAACCTGCTGGGACACAGCCTGAACCCATCACTAATGTTCCCTCCCGCAGCTGGGCATACATACTTGTTTTCCAGAAGTGTAATTGCTCCTCTCAGAGACAAAGTTACACCTGTCTGTCACCTTTTTTGGCCTTATTATCAGACAGGACGCCCAGGCAGGGACAGGCAGGGCTCCAGGGGAACCTGCTGGGACACAAGCTGAAGTCATCACTGATGTTCCCTCCCACAGCTGGGGACAGACACTTAATTCCAGCAGCAGTATTTATTTTTTTAAATTAGTAAATGATTTGGTCATGAGAATCACCTGTGCCTGTCACATCATTAAGCAGCATGGCAGGAATGGTGAAGGGATCTAAGTTGTCCAAGTTGGAGGGGATGTCCTTAGTTTAGTGAATTTAGACATTTTAGTATGAATTTGTAGTCCTAGAGCTAGAAAGACATTCACTCTCTTTTATCCATCCCATGTCTCTGCTCTGAAGCAAAGCATTTGCACACACGGGCTCTTGGACACTTGGCACCAGGTTTCTTCATGGCAATTCAGAGCTCTCTTGGTGCCACAGCATGTGTGCTTCAGCCCA